GGTTAAGAACTTTGCTTCAGGATGAGAACAAAAATCATGCTCCGGTGGCGTGGCGGCAGCAGGAGGCCACATTAGCTAAAGTGTTGCTTCATGTTAAGAACAGTTTCAGGTTAAGTACGGACCTCCGGAATGAATTAAGTACTTAACCTGAGGTACCACTATATATATATATATATATATATATATAACCTTAAATTTTTTTATTTCACATCCAAGATGACTTTGCACCTTGAGGTCCAGGAAAAGTGTGAGGAGGAGGAAATTGTAAACTGGATGAAACCTAAGTAGTATCAGTCTAAAGTTTAAAAGACAGAGAGAGGTCAGCATAGAGCAGGGGTCAGCAACCTAGGCCCATGGGCGAGAAGCAGCCTGCAGAGGTAGTTTGATCTGCCCACGAGCCGCCCCCGAACTGAGCTGCGGGCTGCGCTAAACCGGTGTAGCTCAGCGTTGGGACTCACTTCTGCGGCGCTGGAAATCACAGGCGCATGCATGAACCAGCCCACAGAGTGATCTCCACGGGACCAATCCGGCCCAGGCAAGATAAACCTTACTGACCCCTGGCATAGAGGTTAAATGTACAGAGGTAGCCTGGAAATCTGGAGGTCCCTTATTCGATCTGCTTAAACTCCACAAAAACTCTTTTCGGCAAGCAGAGTTGCCCCCGAACTTCCAACATCCATTATATAAAGATTAATAATCAACAAAAATGCATGTTTACTCGGTATCCGAACAAGGAAAGTAATGGTTTGCTGCAATGATTCTTGAGACTTTCTCTGCTGTTTGGATTAAACACAAATGAAAATTAAGAAAAAGAAATGATTCACAATGGCAACAGGGAAGGAATTAAATGTGACAGCTGAGAGGCACTTTTGAGCACAGTTTCCAGAGCAGTCAGAAGTTACGGGCTCCATAAAAGCTCTGTTGAGTAATATACTCCGGCTTGTTTTGTACAGGAGGTGGTATTATCGTAACAGTCCCTGCCAGCTATAAAATCCATAGCACAGGCCATAAAGCCTGACACTGCAATTCTTCCACCCAGGCCATAAATTTGAGAGCCTGTTAAGAAGTGTTCCGATAACTTCTCTTTCTGTTAAAAAATGATGTTTTCATCAGCGAAAGAGTTCCTTTTCTTGCACATCAAAACCTTCCGTTCTTCTCAGTGGAAATTCAATCACCGATCCTGCCAAATACCAAACAACTTCTTTCACTTTCAGTTGTGAGGCTAGTTTGTCACAGAGGTAGCAGCCATTGGTTTCCCATAGTGCACTCTGTCCAGATACCGAAGGCAAGAGCGGCGAAATTTTAACTTCTTTCAATCTGAGCCCAAAAGATCCCTTTGCAGAAATTCTGTAGGTCTACGCTACATCACAGTTTGAAGCTGCGCCTGTGTGAAGGTGTGCCTGAAAACTGGATCTGAAGTCGTTAGGTTTTGAAGGAAGTAGGGATATTTTTGACAGGGGCAACACTTACTGGGAAGCATTGCTGAGACCACTAGGCTGAGTTGTCTGCCTGTTTCCTTGAATAAAGAGTTAACTTCACTGACAATGGAGATCTGCTTCCTTTTTTGCTGATGTGCGTTTGACTCCAGCCCTGGCAACAGCAGGAGTCTGTGGCACAGAAAAGTCCAGAATCGGAGGCAGAAACTGAAGTAGGAGTGTGGGATGAGGGAGGCCAAGAGATGAGTCAGGTTGGGTGAAGAGTCCTGAGGGTCTCCCCCTCCTGCTGTGACAAGTTGCCCCCCCCCCCCACTTGTCTCCCTGTCAAGTACAGAGATTCCCCTCTCCCTTCTGGTAGCTCACCAATAAGAATTAACAGGCATTTGGTAGATTTGCAGTCCTTTTATTACAGCGTTATGTTGCTGAAGGAAGAGCCAAATAGAATTTATTTTTAACCACCAAATTGAGTAGAAAATAACCAAGTTTACAGACGTACCTAAGCTTGAAAACAAAGGGAAACGTTCCCTCTGCAGTAATTTGCTGTTCGCCAACAGGTAAAGCTGACCCAGGTTAGAAACTTGTAAGGAATGAACAGTGAGTGATTGAATCCATGCAAGCTAGGTCAGAGTTAAAGGTAAAGGGTAAAGGGACCCCTGACCGTTAGGTCCAGTCATGGCCGACTCTGGGGTTGCGGCGCTCATCTCGCTTTACTGGCCGAGGGAGCCGGCGTACAGCTTCCGGGTCATGTGGCCAGCATGACTAAGCCACTTCTGGCAAACCAGAGCAGCGCACAGAAACGCCGTTTACCTTCCCGCCGGAGCGGTACCTATTTATCTACTTGCACTTTGACGTGCTTTCGAACTGCTAGGAGGGCAGGAGCAGGGACTGAGCAACGGGAGCTCACCCCGTTGTGGGGATTCGAACCGCCAACCTTCTGATCAGCAAGTCCTAGGCTATGTGGTTTAACCCACTGCGCCAACCGCGTCCCAGGTCAGAGTTAGGTCAGTGTGGTTCAGGATGCTTGCATGCTAAGCGTAGCTAGAGATCCTTGCATGCTAAGCATAACCAAGAAAAGCTGGGAAGCTGACCAACTGTTATCTTTGGTGAGAGATCTAAGGCAGCCTTTCTCAACCTGTGGGTCCCCAGATGTTGTTGAACTACAACTCCCATCACCCCTAGCTAGCAAGGCTAGAGCTCAGGGATGATGGGAGTTGTAGTCCAACAACATCTGGGGACCTACAGGTTGAGAACCGCTGATCTAAGGGAAGAATGGAAAGCCATGTAAGAAATTGGCACTACATGCTTGCATGCTGTAATGACCTTCTTGACCTGTTGCTCATCGGGTATCATAAGAGAGATGGTTCTAAGTGCTCTTGCATTATGTGGGCGTCCCTTTCAAAATGTATAAAAGCCTGGACTGAGCTGCACACATGGCCTCAGTCTGTCTGGACAGGGGACCATAACAGCAGTTATGAAATAAAGGTGATTTTCCTTGAACTCTATTGGTCTGTTGTTTATCAGAAAACCCTTGCTTCATTGCAAGCACAAACAGGCATAAACACTGTAGTATAAACACTGACAACTGGGAAACACTGGCCTGCGAGCTCTCCACTTGGAGAACAGCCTTTACCAAAGGTGTCATGGGCTTTGGAGACGCTCGAACTCAGGACGCAAGGGAGAAATGTGCAAGGAGGAAGACACATTTGGTAAATCCACACTGTGATCAACTCCCGCCCTGAAACCAATGTCCCCACTGTGGAAGGACGCGTGGATCCAGAATTGGCCTCCACAGTCACTTATGAACTCATTGTTAAAACCATGTTGATGGAAGACAATCTTACTTGGCTACGAGTGATCGCCAAAGAAGAAGACTGTGACTCCTCACTTCCGCAGCAAGAAGCGTGCCAACGGGAAGTCCCTTCTTCCCTGCGTCTCCTTTGTTCTCTGAGACACTCGGACCTCCGAGTTCAGGAGGAGGGAGGAGGTGCCTCCCCACTTTCGATTGATGTCTTGCCCAGCTGCTCCCTCCCTGCTGGTTGCTTAGCTACTATCTAATAGCTGGACAGCTCCTCTCTCAACTGTGCAGCTTCTGTCTCTGCCTGTCTCTCTGCTTCTGGAAAAGCTGGAAGCAGGGGCCCCCTTCCCAATTTCTCCCCTCCTTTTCTGTTAGGAGCTGATCTCCCTGAGATTGCATTCCCCAATCTTCCGATCCAGACCAGCCCCTGACACTCCCAGAACCAGAAGAGGCATGAAAAGGCCAAGGAGAGGTTGGTTGCATGCAGGATCAGGAAGGTCTGATCAAATGCATAGTCACCATGGGCGAGGCCAGCAGCCATAATCTCAGCTGCTCCATGTCTTCGCGATATTGGTTGCGCCTAGATTTAGAAGGTCTGCATCAGGATTATATACCGGCCGGCCCAGAAAGGGAGACGAGCTGGTTTTCTGCCATTCAGGCCAGTGGTTTGTTTTGGACGAACAATAAGGCATATGCGATTCCAATTCCAGCTGCAAACAGGAAAAGAATCTGACAACGCAAAACCCCGAGGGTGAGTCACTGTGACTTCCCTTATGCATCGTTCGGAGCCAAGGATGGATGAACCAAGATTACATAAGGGACCAGGCAAAGGGGAAAACCTTTAGGAAAGTATTTGCTGTGTATACACTTCTGGCTGCCAAGCGCAATCTGCGAGGCGAGAGAGGTGGATGACAGCTTCCCTCCCCCTTCGCCACCATTGCTGTGCAGTTTTGCAGCCTTTACAAACGTTGGCTCTTGAAGGAAGGAGATGGTTTAATAATAATTAATAATTTAATATTTATACCCCGCCCATCTGGCTGGGTTTCCCCAGCCACTCTGGGCGGCATCCCACAAAATATTAAAATACAGCAATGCATCAAACATTAAAAGCTTCCCTAAACAGGGCTGCCTTCAGATGTCTTCTAAATGTGAGGTAGTTGTTTATCTCTTTGACATTTGATGGGAGGGCGTTCCACAGGGCGGGTGCCACTACTGAGAAGGCCCTCTGCCTGCTTCCCTGTAATTTGGCTTCTTGCTGTGAGGAAACCACCAGAAGGTCCTCAACGCTGGACCTTAGCTGGACCGGATTATAGAATCCGGGTCTCTCTGAGCCTTGAACTGTACCCCAGGACTGGCAACATAGATAAAAATAAATAAATTAAAAGAAGAAGAAGAGGAGGAGGAGGAGGAGGAGGAGTTTGGAGTTGATATCCTGCTTTATCACTACCCGAAGGAGTCTCAAAGCGGCTAACATTCTCCTTTCCCTTCCTCCCCCACAACAAACACTCTGTGAGGTGAGTGGGGCTGAGAGACTTCAAAGAAGTGTGACTGGCCCAAGGTCACCCGGCAGCTGCATGTGGAGGAGCGGAGACGCGAACCCAGTTCACCAGATTATGAGTCTACCGCTCTTAACCACTACACCACACTGGCTCTCATAGGAAGGTGCTTTATATTGAGCCAGACCAGTGGGTCCACCCAGCACAGCATTGTATACACTAACTGGCAGCAGTTCCTCAGGGTTTCAGCCATGGGATGTTCCCAGCCCTCCTTGGAGATGTCTGGATTCGAACCCAGGGCACTCTGCATGCAAGGCAAGTGCTCTGCCACTTGAGCTACAGCCCTTCTTTACAAATTAATGGAGGAGGGCTATGACTACCCTGATAAAAAGGAGACTGAGAGGAGATATGGGAGCCATCTTCAAGTATCTGAAGGTCTGTCACATGGAGGATGGAGAAAGCTTGTTTTCTCCCGCTCCGGTGGGAAGGACCTAGCTGCTAGGTAGGAGAACAAGAGCCAGTGCTGGAAGCAGCCTGGCGACTGGAGAGACTGAGACATGCTTGCCCTGTGCTGGATCCAAATCTGTGATTAATGGAGAAGTCACAGGTTGTGTTTACAGTGGTACCTTCTCAAACGCCTTGGTACTCAAACAACTTGGAACCCAAACACTGCAAACCCGGAAGTAAGTGTTCCAGTTTGTGAACTTTGAGTGCCACGCTTCTGTTTTAAGTGTTACCCTGAGGTCTGTCTGTTTTTGCTTTTTATTTTGCCTTTTTGTTTTTGCGGCTCTTTTTGTTTTGTTTTTGTGACTGTGTGGAACCCAGTCCAACTACTGATTGATTGATTGATTGTGCGACTGCAGTACATTGTTTATTGCTTTCATTTTATCAACGGTCTTGTTAGATAGTAAAATTCATGTCAAATTGCTGTTTTGGAGGATGTTTTTAAAAGTCTGGAATGGATTAATCCATTTTGCATTGCTTTCTATGGGAAAGCGCGCCTTGGTTTTGGAATGCTTTGGTTTGGAACGGACTTCTGGAACGGACTAAGTTTAAGAACCAAGGTACCACTGTATGTGTAAATAAATGCTGGAGATGTACTGAGGTTGAGGGTACATTCTGTCATATGTGGTGGATCTGTAAAAAGGTAAAACATTATTGGGAGATAATTTACAAGGGGGGAAAATGTTTAAAAGTACTTTTCAAAAAAACCCAGAGTCCTTCTTGTTGGGGAAAGAAATTCCCAGAGGTCAAAAAAGATTATTTATGTATGCTACTACTGCAGCCCATGTTTTGTTAGCCCAAAAATGGAAAACGAGCAAAGTCCCAACTAAAGAAAAATGGCAACTCAAACTGATGGAATATGCACAACTTGCAAACTTAACATGTAGAATAAGAGAACAAGAAGAACATATGTTTAAAGAAGACTGGAAAATGTTTTTTTTAAATATATGGGGGAAATAGTGTACATTTGAAAACGTCAGAGTTAAGATAAATTCAAGGGTGAAAATAAGTTTTGATGGATGGAATAATGGAATAATGAATGGTTTAATTTATGCAAAAGATGCAGGAATTTATGGAATATGAAATGAACCATGGAAAAAAAGAAGGGGTTGATATTTTAAGGTTGTTTAAATGAATACTCAAAAACGTAAAACTGAAAACTTAATATTTTATTTTATTTTTATAAAAAAAAAGATAAAAGGAGCATGAGTCTCAGTGTTGTGGGTTTGAGCTTACGGTGGACAAAAGATTTCTGCATTGCAGGGGGTTGGACTAGATGACCCTCGTGGTTCCTTCCAACTCTATAATTCTGTGAATCTATGATTCTATGATTACCAAGCCCCCTGAGGTGAATTGAGCTCAGTTTCCTTTAAGCCAGGGGTCGGCAAGGCTTACCGGGCATGGGCCAGATCACTCCTGCGGAGATCCTCCGTGGGATGGACCGGCGCAGCGTGACAACAGAAATTGCGTCTGCGCATGTCTGCGGTGCCGGAACTCGCTTCCGCGTGTGCCCAGATACCAAAAATTGTGCCTGCACAGAAGCGATTTTCAGTGTCTGGGCATACGCAGAAGTGATTTCCAGAGCCATGGAAGAGAGTCCCCGAGCTGCGCTGTGCTGGTTTAGCGCAGCGCATGAGGACTCATCGAGCGGGCGGCTTGGATCGGGGGCAGCTTGTGGGCCAGTTAAACGGCCTCCGTGGGCTGCTTCCGGCCCATGGGCCTTAGGTTGCCGACCCCTGCTTTAGGCGCTCAGAGACCTACCTCCTTTGAGAAGAAACTTCTGAGATAAATCCGTGTTGTGATATTGCTTACTTCTGTTGTATCCTGCAGTTCCCCTATGGGAACTGATTTATCTGATTTATCTGAACTGTGCAAAATCCACACTAGAGAGAAAGAAGAGGGTATTCCTAAAATTTCACCCACAGAAATTGGGCATTCTTCTTCTTCATTATTATACAGTAACGAATTGTTATCAAAACCATGCATTTTGTGTAACAGTACTTCTGTGTAAATGTTAGGCATCCGTCAGGGCAAAGTTCAACATTTACCTTTGTCAACAACTGCTGAATCAATATTTGGGATGTGCTTAACACATGCTGTGCCACAGCAGAGCCGGCAACTGCGGAAGTTTTTTCCCTCCTTCTCAGATTCATGTATTCGTCTATGTAAGTCAGCCAACTGTGTTCATGTGGTGGGAAGGGTGGATTCCATTCAGGCACCTCAGAGATATTTCAGGATTACTAAGTGTGGGATGTAATCCAGTGGAGCAGTCAAATACAACATTCCTCGTTTGCCTAGAGTGGACACAGACAGGGGCATGTTGATCCAGCCAGTTGAACTTCCTGTTACACCTGGTCTGGAGCATCCTCCCCCTGCATGTGACCAGGTATATACTATTAATAGTAGTAGTAGTAATAGTAATAATAATAATAATAATAATTTATTATTTGTACCCTACCCATCTGGCTGGGTTTCCCCAGCCACTCTGGGCGGCTTCCAACAAAGATTAAAAATACATTAAAATGTCACACATTAAAAACTTCCCTGAACAGGGCTGCCTTCAGATGTCTTCTAAAAGTCAGGTAGTTGTTTATCTCCTTGACATCTGATGGGAGGGCGTTCCACAGGGCGGGCGCCGCCACCGAGAAGGCCCTCTGCCTGGTTTCCTGTAACTTGGCTTCTCACACTGAGGGAACTGCCAGAAGGCCCTCGGTGCTGGACCTCCGTGTCCGGGCTGAACGATGGGGGTGGAGACACTCCTTCAGGTCTACTGGGCCGAGGCCGTTTAGGGCTTTAAAGGTCCCCGCCAACACTTTGAATTGTGCTCAGAAACGTAGGTGGGCATGACCTTGGGAGACCCCACAAAAGGTCCAGTCACTCAGCACATGGGCCCATCCTTGCAAGGATGTAAGCCACACTGTATCTGTAACTACAAGCTAAAGCCTGCCTTCAGGGATCCAACTGTGAACTGAATGTGAGTAAACTTCTAGTTACTTTTAAAAGAGGTTTCTTGTGTCTTTATTCTTTTTAGGTGGGATAAAAAGGGTCTTACCAGGAATATACTCCAATCTGAACAAAGCCAGATTGGATTGCTTAAGTAAAGAGATGCAAACGAATCTACCAACTAGCTCCCTGCTATATATTGGGGAGTGTCGCTCGGCTGCTGACTCATAAGCGTAAGTTAGGAAGGATACTATTAAATCAATATATCCTCTCCTAATATCTACAACATTCCTGTCAGGAATGAGCCAGCTCCAAGCAAAGGTTTGCAGCCAATGGCAGAAAGCAGCCAGGAACAGAGAGGCTTAGATGTTAGTCAGGCAGGGGAGAGCTGGCAGCTGCAGACTTCGGCTCTTCCTGATTTTGATGGGCAGGTTGATAAGGCAGTGGCTGAGAGCAGACTGGAACACAGCCAAAGCTCACAGGAAGCACAAAATGGCGCGAACAAACTCAGAGACAGCTCCTCTGAACAAGAAGAGGTTGGAGCTGATTCACTAAGTCCTAAGAGTTGGAGCAATAGGATGGCTGTTAGACAGGAAGCAAAACGAGACGTAAGGGTCGTAAGTTCAATATCTTCTGCCAACGTTGGAAGGAGTCTTCAGAAGGGTCATCTTGAGTATGGTGCCGGAGGCTTTGTTAGAGCCGTCCGGAGCTATCTGTTTGTTTTTGCAATAAATCCTCCTTTTTAATTACCTACGCTTACTGTGTTATCAAGCTGGGAACCTGGACTCCTGACAATTCCCACACTAAGTAGCAGAGAAATATTATGCAGTAATGGGGGATTTTGGACGCAAATCCCCCTCTCTCTCTCCTTCCACATATGTAGACATGGGAAGGACCCAAAGCATCATCTGGTCCAACCCCTGCAATCCAAATGAGTAGGTGCAAAAGGAGTCCTGCTAGCACAATGGGAGTTTCCACCTCTCCTTCCCCTTTGCACCCCCTAACAAATCTGCTTACTCCTGATGCTGGCAAAGGGCTGTAGCTCAGAGGCGGAGCATCTTTCTTGCAAGCAGAAGGTCTCAGGTCCAGTCCCAGGCATCTCCAGGTAAGGACTGGGGATGTTCCTTACCTGAAGCCCCAGAAAACTGCTGCCAGGACATGTAGACCAGACTTGACACCAACCTGACGCCCTCCAGATGTTTTGGACAACAGTTCTCTATTGTGATGGTCTGGGACTTGGGCTCACACTCGGAACCAGAGGAGTCTCAGTCCGCACCGGATCCTTTGCCTCAGGCACCACCTGAACCAAGTCTGGGGCCTGATCCTGAAGAGTCCCAGTCTGCACAGGTTCCCCTGCAACAAACACCAGCTGGGGCCTGAGCCTGCCCTGGCTCCAGATGCGGGGATTACCTCGTTGCCTCCAGCTGGGCCATCACTCACAGCTGCTCCACTACCGGTTGGGTCAGGGGAGGCTGAGGCGGCCCCTGGGTCTAGTAACCCACTGATGTTTCCCGAGCTGCAGAGACTAAGGTCTGAGAGAAGGAGAGACCTGAGTACTCGTAGGAGGAGTGCTCACCGTCGGGCGAGACAGGGAGGTGAGTCGCTGGGGGATCAGGACCGGCCGCTACCCTGACAAAGATAAAAGGCTGTCAGACCCCACTCCAGGTTGCGGGAGCGACATTGCTGTATGCTAGATCCTGCCTGAGATCCTGTACCTGTCCTTGCCTGGTTTCCTGCCTTGTCTCCTGCCTTGGCTTTGTCGGACTGACTCCCAGCGGAACCTTCGGATTCTGGACCAGACCTGGACCGCGTTTCATGGGTTACCCTCGGGCCCAGCACATTTATGCCTTCTGCTTGGGATGGATGGAGGGTTGTTGTGCAAACATCCGAGAGGCCTAGCAGGTTGGCAGAGGCTGGCGAAGTTGTTGTTGTTTAGTCGTGTCCGTCTTTTCGTGACCCCATGGACGAGAGCACGCCCCATGGACCAGAGCAGGCCCTCACGTCTTCCACTGCCTCCTGCAGTTTGGTCAAACTCATGTTTGTAGCTTGGAGAACACTGTCCAACCATCTCGTCCTCTATCGTCCCCTTCTCCTTGTGCCCTCCATCTTTCCCAACATCAGGGTCTTTTCCAGGGAGTCTTCTCTTCTCATGAGGTGGCCAAAGTATTGGAGCCTCAGCTTCATGATCTGTCCTTCTAGTGAGCACTCAGGGCTGGTTTCCTTAAGAATGGATGCGTTTGATCTTCTTGCAGTCCACGGGACTCTCAAGAGTCTCCTCCAGCACCATAATTCAAAAGCATCCATTCTTCGGCAATCAGCCTTCTTTATGGTCCAGCTCTCACTTCCGTACATCACTACTGGGAAAACCAGAGCTTTTACTATACGGACCTTTGTTGGCAAGGTGATGTCTCTGCTTTCTAAGTCTGACTAAAAAACATGTAGAGGAAGGCGTCTTATGCTGAGTCAGACCTGCTTTGCCAGCCCCCGCTGACTCAGCATAAGTCGCCTTCCTCTTACATGCTTTTAACGCAATGAGTTGCAAACGGAATAGAAGCGCAGCTCCTCTTTTGTTTTCCGCCCCACCCTTCGGAGCTAAATTCATAAAGATCTGGTTCAAACGGTGCTCTTAAGCCCCTGGGCTGGACTCCATCTGCACGGCAGACTTCAGAGTCTCTGTTCCCCCCTGAGCCCGCAAGGAGCCTGAGCCAAAGGACAATAATTCTTGGAATAATAAAAGCTTGCAGCTGGAATGAAGAAGCTGACTCAGACAATAAAAACCCAGGAAGGGGTATAGAGAGCTCTCCGCAGCGGGTAGCTTCCTCTTCTGTCGCAACGCACTTTCCTAATTGCAAACACTTTGGGAAAACGCTGAAAGGAAGGAGGACAACAGCAGAAATGAAAATGACACCTTTTCTCTTTTTGCGCTGCCATTCTTGATGGCTTTCAAAAATGCCTTTCCTAGTTCATTGTCGGTCCTTTTCTGTTACCTTTCCCCACTGTTTGTGAAGGTCTCTCTTTCTCCTTTTTTTGGTCTTGTGCTTTTTTTTTTTTTTTTAAAAAAAAGATTGTGATCCTGTGCATATTGAAAAAAATATTCTGTTAACGGCACCTAGCATGCACATTAAATGCTTCATGAATTGTTATCTACAAGCAGGGCATCTGAAACAAAAAGTTGCAGCATGGATTGTTTTGGTTCCAGTTCCCAGCCACTCTATTCTGTCCCGTTTATACTCTGAGCAACCAAATAAAAGTACACAACAGCCTTCGGTTTGCCCTCTGTTTGTTTTGGTCTACAGCTAACAAAATGAATTTCAGTAGGGACAAGTGTAAGCTTTTACATTTAAGCAGGAAGAAACAGCTGCAAAAGTACAAGATGGGAGACCCTTGGCTTCACAGAAGTACTGTATTTTTCACTCTATAGGGCACACCTGACCATAGAGCGCACCTAGTTTTCAGAGCAGGAAATCAAGGGGAAAAATATGATCCCCCCCCCAGCTCTGGGAGCAGCGGACAGGCTGCACGCAGCCTGTGCACTTCTCCCAGACCTTCTCCCTGCTATTACGGGAGGTGGGGGAATTCCCCCACCTCCTGCAAAAAGCCCACAGGAGCTGCGCACGGCTCCTGCGGGTTTTTCGACCAGGAGGGAGAAGGGACTGATGCGGCCAGTCAGTCCCTTGTCCCTCCTCGGGGAAAAGCCCCCAAGAGCGGCACGCTCTTTAAAGGCTGCACGGCTCCTGCGGGCTTTTCTAGGAGGTGGGGGAATTCCCCCACCTCCTAGAAAAGCCAGCAGAAGCCGTGCAGCCCCTTTAAAGAGCGCGCGGCTTTTGCAGGTGGTGGGGGAATTTCCCCATCTCCCGCAAAAGCCCACAGGAGCCGCGCACCCTTTAAAGAGTGTGCGGCTCCTGTGGGCTTTTCGACCGAGCTTGTGGGGCTGGCAGTGGGGGGAAGTGCTGCTTTCCCCCACCGCCAGCCTCAAAGACCAGGCTCTCCTGGCTTCAGCGAAAGCAACACAAAGCTTCTGGAGCGCAGGCTTGGGAGGCTTCGCGTTGCTATCGCTGAAGCCAAGGAGCCTGCATTCGCTCCATAGGACGCACACACATTTCCCCTTAATTTTTGGAGGGGAAAAAGTGCGTCCTATGGAGCGAAAAATATGGTATGTGTGAAAAGGATTTGGGGTCTTAGTGGACCACAAGCTTAACATGAGGCAACAGTGTGACGCAGCAGCAAAAAAAGCAAATGCTATTCTAACTGCATAAACAGAAGTCTAGTGTCCAGATCAAGGGAAGTAATAGTCCTACTCTATTCTGTCTTGGTCAGACCACACCTGGAATACTGTGTCCAGTTCTGGGCACTACAATTTAAGAAGGAAATTGACAAGCTGGAACATGTGCAGAGGAGGGTGACCAAGATGATCAAAGAGGTCTGGAAGCCAAGCCTTATAAGGAACAATTGAGGGAGCTGAGAGTAATTAGCTTGAAAAAGAGGAGACTGAAAGTCATCTTCAGATAACTCAAGGGCTGTCACATGGGAGATAGACCTGAACCAATGGCTTCAATTTACAAGAAGGGACGTTCCGACTAAACATCAGGAACAACCTGTGGGAGATTGCAGTTAAACTATGCATGAGTGCTAGTTAATGCATGAAGGGGTTAAGGCAATAGAGCTGGATTCCTAGACTCAGCTAGGTCACCCCCCTCTTCTCTGATGAGAGAGGGAGTGAATCCTATTTCCTTTTCCTCACTCTCTCTGTTCCATGTATCCAACCAGGGAGGATGTGTTCAAGCTTAGAGCATGTGTTTGAAGCTAACTTTTCGTATTTTCTACCTCAGGGTATTCTTCCTGTGCTCCTCTTGCTGCTGCTTGGATCAATCCATGAATCTGACCTTTGGAACATTTTGTAAGTAAAGCATTTTTAAACTTACTTAACAGTGTGTGGTCCCAGGTGAGAGCTAGGAAGGCCCACCACTTTCTGTGGATGACAAGGGCTAAGAACTACCATTGACTCTGTGCTTTCTTTACTCTTTCTCTGTTTTTGTTTTTATTTAGATCAGTATATTTTATTGCATTATGAAGAAGCTTTAATAAAATCTTATGGGGGGAAACAGTATGTGGTCTGTTCATTGCAAGAGGGGTAGAAAGAGGGCAGTGCTGTATGCAACCAAACAGGATGAAAGGGTCTAACAACATATATTGTTCAGTCCCATGATTTGAATCCAGGTATCCAGCTCATTCTTTTGTTATTTACCCCACACATGTGGGTCACAGGGACACTTTCCCTCGCACATAAAACTTTCTGATGGTAAGAGCTGTTCATTAAGCAACTCTACAATTCTCCCCCCCCCCCATTTTTTAAAATTCATTTTATAACCTAAATAAAAAACTCAGACAGAAAAGACAAACAATACAAACAAATTCTTGTCATATCCTTATTTTTCTAAATATTGTTAAGCTGGCTTCCCCAAGTCCCACCTATCTGATTTTCATTTTATTTCATCTTTAGCAGTTTACATATATCATAATTTCTAACCATTTTTTTTTTAAATCATACTTAAAATAACTTCACATTTTATCACTTACAGATAATACTATTTTAAAATACCCTATCTTCTACTTCTAACCCTACAGCCTATATCCACTTCCAAAGCTACAGTGGTGCCTCGCAAGACGAAATTAATCCGTTCCGCGAGTCTCTTCGTTTTGCGGTTTTTTTGTCTTGCGGTTTTTTCGTCTTGCGAAGCACGGCTATTAGCGGCTTAGCGGCTATTAACGGCTTAGTGGCTTAGCGGCTTAAAGAAAAAGGAAACAAACTCGCAAGAACTCGCAAGACATTTCGTCTTGCGAAGCAAGCCCATAGGGAAATTCGTCTTGCAGAACGACTCAAAAAACGGAAAACTCTTTCGTCTTGCGCCTTTTTTGTCTTGCGAGGCATTCGTCTTGCGAGGTACCACTGTATTCTAAGGTTTAAATATTAACATATTTTTTCAAATATTCCTTAAACTTCTTCCAGTCTTCTTCCACTGTCTCATCTCTCTGGTCTCAGAGTCTCCCGGTCAGTTCGGCATGTTCCATATAGTCCATCATCTTCATCTGCCATTCTTCGATAGCTGGTAAATCTTGTTTCTTCCAATTCTTCGCTAACAATATTCTCACAGCTGTTGTGGCATACAGAAAAAAAAATAACATCCTTTTTGGGGATTTTACCCCCCACTATACCAAGTAAAAAGGCTTCTGTTTTTTTAGTAAATGTGTTTTTCAACACTTCTTTTCAATTCATTATAAATCCTTTCCCAGAAGTCTTTTACCTTGGGGCACGTCCACCACATGTGGTAAAAGGTTCCTTCTTTTTCTCTACATTTCCAGCATTTATTATCATGAGTATGATACATTTTTGCTAACTTCACTGGTGTTAAATACCATCTGTACATCATTTTCATCAATTTTTCTCTTAATACATTACAAGCTGTAAATTTGATTCCCCTTTCCCACAATTTCTCCCAATCCACCATCATGATATTGTGCCCCGCATCCCTGGAAACTCTACAATTCTAACATTCGAACCCTGCACTTATTGGCACAAATACAGAACTAAAGGATCCTTTTATTTGGCCTTCTATGAAGTCTGGTGAGAAATTGAAGTTTACCCTCTGTTTCCCAACGTCCTCCTCCAAAAAGCTCTCCCTGCTCACTGACTGGTTTCTCCTCTTTGCACCCGCCTCCAGATTTACTCATAACTAAAATTCAGGACTCTGTAAATGGCGGTGGGGTCAGGAGTTCCTGACGCCACTTTGCTGCTGAAGGACAGCTTCATTTTGTCTCCGGGAGACTGACATGATCCTGGGGTCTTCTGGGCTCAGAGCCACTGGAGGCATCCCACCCCATGGCTCCTTCACACTGGTCCATTGTCTCAGAGCTTGGCCAAGGCCTGGTCACCATGGCGACCATTTATCTGCCTTTTTTCCTTCCAGCAGCCAAGGGTCCAGGCCAAGAGAAATCTCTGCCCTCGGGAAGAACGGTCAAGTCTGCGTGGGGAATTAAACCACGGACCAGGATTTTCTCATCACCATAATTACCCTCTGCCCTGTTCCATAGCTCCTTTCTGCCCCCCTGAACCCCTGAAATGTAGCCTCTTTGCCCCCACACTTGGGGCCATAGCTGTCAACTTACAGATTTGAAAATAAGGGACCAGCAGCCTCAAAAATAAGGGATCAGCAGCCAAAATAAGGGATTTTCCAAGCACAGGTATGTTCAACTTCTGAGCCCCTCCAAGCCAAAGGCAGAAAGCCCAGCCAGCAGCCAAATGAAGCCTCAAGCGGTGGTTCCCACAGTGCAGCAACCCGGCAAAGGGGATGCAGCAAGGAAAACCACTGTCACCTCTCCGCTGGGAAGCGCTGAGCAAAGGCGAGTCCCCACGCAACGTGGCCGATTTGATTGGCACAAGGCATGCAAGCTCCACCCCCCAGCCGTTCTTAGACTCCTTATTGGGTGAGCAACGCAGCCAAGCAACACATTGGAGCCTCCCTCCTCCCTGGCCGGCAGGGAGGGAGGGAGAGGAGCTGCTTCCTTTGAAACCCGGGAAATTTAAGGGACATCATCAATAAGGGACAGCAGCAGGACACAGAGCTGGGATAAGGGACTTTCCCGCCAAATAAGGGACGGTTGATAGCTATGCTTGGGGCACACACCTCTTTGCAGCAATTAGACCTGGAGTAGGGGAGATCCCTTTTAAAACGGAAAAGGCATAAAAATACCCCTATTTCCAGGACAGTCATGGATTTACAGAAGCCATCCTGGTTTCTGATTTGATCCCGGAATATCCCACTTTTCCTTAGGACATCCCTCTTTTCATCAGAGAAATGTTGGAGGGTATGGAGTTATGTGACCCCGGAGCCAAGGAAATAATAACTACTGTATACAGCCTTTACAAGATACCTGAAGTTAGCCTGAATAGGGAAGTTTTTTAGTGTTTCATGCTTTATTATGTTTTTATATGTGTTGGAAGCCACTAAGAGTGGCTGCTGCAACCCAGTCGGATGGGATATAAATATAATAATAACAATAATAACAATAATTTGAATTTCAATACAATATTTTATTGGTTTTTTTCCATATTACATCACATCTTTTGTCCGTCCCCCCGCCCCCACTCCATTTCCTCTACATTCTGAGATTACATTTATCTTTGCATTTTACAATCTTCTCAAATCTTCTATATATTCTTATTATCTTTCCTTACTAATTTACCTTCCCTCAGATACTTTACATTTTAACCTAGGCATATTAGCATATCTTTTTCTGAGCCACATTTTATCATATATTCAACAAACATTCCCACTCCTTTTTAAATTTTTGATTCGATTGGTTTCTTATAATAGCTGTTGGTTTTGCCAGAGTTAAGTATTCATTTAGTCTGCAAATCCATTCCTCCCATTTTACAAATCCATTCCTCCCATTTATTATTACTATTATTACTGCAGTCGTACCTTGGAAGTCGAATGGAATCCATTCTGGAAATCCGTTCGACTTCAAAAATGTTCGGAAACCAAAGCGCGGTTTCTGATTGGATGCAGGAAGCTCCTGTAGCCAATCGGAAGCCGCGGAAGCCCCGTCGGATTTCGGCTTCCAAAAATAGTTACTTCCAAACAGTTACTTTTGGGTTTGCGGCATTCGGGAGCCAAAATGTTTGAGAACTAAGCTGTTTGAAAACCAAGGTATTATGGAATACGTAAAGGGACCCCTGACCATTAGGTCCAGTCGTGGCCGACTCTGGGGTTGCGCGCTCATCTCGCTTTATTGGCCAAGGGAGCCGGCATACAGCTTCCGGGTCATGTGGCCAGCATGACTAAGCCACTTCTGGCAAACCAGAGCAGCGCATGGAAACGCCGTTTACCTTCCCGCGGGAGCGGTACCTATTTATCTACTTGCACTTTGACATGTTTTTGAACTGTTAGGTTGGCAGGAGCAGGGACCGAGCAATGGGAGCTCACCCCGTCACGGGGATTCGAACCGCCGACCTTCTGATCGGCAAGTCCTAGGCTCTGTGATTTAACCCACAGCACCACCTGCGTCCCATGGAATAGGACATCCCTATTTCCATCGGAGAAATGTTGGAGGGCATGCCATTGGCAGTCAGGATAACAATATTGGGCAAGGAGGTGAGAATGTTGATAGGCAAAAGGCAAAAGGCCTACTTGTTTCTTATAAGTCTTTTTTATGTTTTTACTTAAAAGTGTGCAGCCGAGTAGGGATTGCACACAATTTTTGACGCCCCTGTGATGGTGCTTAGATATGTTACTAAACAGACAAGCTTCTTGATGCCTCCTAAGTTTGTGGCTTGCCCCTTGCCCTTCAAGATCTGGGCAAAGTTAACCTTAACCCATTCAGTCACTCATTAACACAAACTCCTTTGCTTACGCTGGGTGTGGACTGGGTCGGGTGCTACAAACTGTATTCATCTGACCTGTCACAGAGCTGTTGGCTCATCTGAGCCAAATCAAAGTAGAGCCTTTGCAGCATTGGGAAATGTTGATTGTCAAAAGGATTGCCCTTCCTTGACCTGCTAGCGACTTATTAACTAAGCAGTTTAATGAGCTGGTTATCTAGCAAAATAGCGCTGAGTCAGAGGCCCGTTGCCTCTGGGGTACAACCTCACTTGCCATCTTCTGCAGCAGCCTCATGCAATCTGGTGCTTGTGCCAGCAGTGACTGGTGGGAGTTGGCATCATAGTGTTGGAATTGTTATAAAAATTTAATAATAATAATAATAATATTATAATAATAATTTATTATTTATACCCCGCCCATCTGGCTGAGTCTCCCCAGCCACTCTGGACGGCTCCCAATCAAATATTAAAAACAGTACAGCGTTAAATATTAAAAACTTCCCTAAATAGGGCTGCCTTCAGATGTCTTTTAAAGATAGGATAACTGCTTATTTCCTTCGCATCTGAAGGGAGGGTGTTCCACAGGGTGGGCGCCACCACCAAGAAGGCCCTCTGCCTGGTTCCCTGTAACTTGGCTTCTCGCAGCAAGGGAACCTGCCAGACGGGAGGTAAACAATGCACTCAGATTTCTGTTGTAGACCGCCCTTTCTGTGATGTAGGTATGATGTATCTGGAGGTGGTCTTGGACTCTAGGGCTGGCAATTTAAAATGTCTATATAAGGGCGGTCACACCTGGGTTCTGGGTTCTCCTTCTGCTGCGTGTGAGGGGAGCACCCTGTTGCGACAGTTCAATAAAGATCAGGCTTAGTAGCTGCTTTGCTTCTCAATATTCTCTGGTTGGCCTCTGTTATTCTCTCCTACCAATAGGGAACCTACGTAAGGACTCTATATGGGCTCTTGGATACCCCATAAGGGAAAAAGGGCAGATTTTTGTTTACAACAGAAGGGACCTCGGGGTCATCTAGTCCAACCCGCTGCAATGCAGGAATCTCAGCTGAGGCATCCATAACAGATGGTCATCCAGCTTCTGCTTGAAAACCTCCAAGGAAGGAGAGCCCATCACTTCCCGAGGGAGTTTGTTCCACTGTCAAACAGCTCTTACTGTCAGGAAGCCCTTTGTCAGAATCTCCTTTCCTATATATAACTTGAATCCATTGGTTTGGGCCCTACCCTCCGGGGTAGGAGAAAACAAGCTTCTATGTGACAGCCCTTGAGATAACAATCATACTGTAAGGTAAAGGTATAAGGAAAAGGAGCCCTGGACGGTTAAGTCCAGTCAAAGGCGACTATGGGGTTGTAGCGCTCATCTCGCTTTCAGGCCGAGGGAGCCAGCGTTTGTCCACAGACAGCTTTCCGGGTCACAGGGCCAGCAGGCCTAACCCACTTCTGGGTCAACAGGACACCGTGACAGAAACCAGAGCGCACGAAATTCCGTTTACCTTCCTGCTGCAGTGGTACCTGTTTATCTACTTGCGCTGGTGTGTTTTCGAACTGCTAGGTTGGCAGGAGCTGGGACAGAGCAACGGGAGCTCACCCCGTTGCGGGGATTCAAACCGCCAACCTGATCAGCAAGTCTATCATACTGTACCTCCTCTCAGTCTCCTCTTTTCCAGACTAAATATCCCCAACTCCCACAACTGCTTCTCCTAAGACTACATGTTGCTTTTTTAAAACCCAAATTGCCAGTACGCTCTATCTCGACCTCACAGTCCCGATGGATCAGTTGCTGAGACTAAAAGTCCCCGCCTCCTCATAGCTGTCTATGTCTCCTCCTCTCCAAGGTTTTCCCCAAGTAATTAGAGACTGTGTCTGCATGAAGCCAACCTCTCCTCTGCCCTCTTCATACCTCTCCTGGTTCTGGGAGACTGGGGGGGAGGAGGGAAGCTTGTGCTTCTTCACCTCCCTTCACTTCTGTCTCTTGGTCTCCTTCACCTTCAGCATCTGATTCTGAACTTCTCTCTGCCACAGACTCTCCCCACTCACTGATCCCTGTTCCCTCTCCATTTTCCGACACCTCCTTCTCTCAGTCTGCTCCTCCTTCTCCCTCTGACCCCTCATCGTCCTCCCACCACCACTCCCTGGGCTCTGAAGCTTCTTCCCTTGGAGATTCCCCAGCTAGTTCCACCCACCCTTCGTCTGCAGCAAACCATGACATCCAGTCCCACATATCTGAAGTGGCATAGTCTCACATACCACCAACTGCATCTGAAGTGGTACAGTCCCATGCACTGCACTACCCCAGTCTGTGAGCGCTCCAGTTGGAGAATAGCCTTTGAAGACACTCGAACTCAGGACGAAAGGGCGAAACGTGCTAAGAGGAAGGCATGCTTAGCAAACCCTCGCCGTGATGAACTCCCACCCAGAAACCTACGTCCCCACTGTGGAAGGAAGTGTGGATCCAAAATTGGCCTCCACAGTCACTTACAGACACACCATTAAGACCACATTCATGGAAGACAATCTTACTTGGCTACGAGGGATCGCCAGAGAAGAAAGAAGATTACCTCAGACCACCTCATTATGCTGCGAACATCAGTCCCTGTCTGCTTCAGGGCCTACCTGGGCTTGGAGCATGGTCCATGCTATTTATTTACAATTATCTGCACACTTTTAGACTATACCACTAATAAATATTCCACAACTTGGGCATGTAGAGCATTCCTTGTATAATGATGATGATGATGGTGATAATTAATTTATTATTTCTACACCGCCCATCTGGCTGGGTTTCCCCAGCCACTCTGGGCGGCTTCCAACAAAAGATTAAAAATACATTAAAACATCAGTCATTAAAAACTTCCCTAAACAGAGCTGCCTTTGACATCTGACGGGAGGGCATTCCACAGGGTGGGTGCCACCACCGAGAAGGCCCTGGTTCCCGGCAACCTCGCAGGGAGAGAACCGCCAGAAGGCCCTTGGCACTGGACCTCAGGGTCCAGGTTGAACGATGTGGGTAGAGACGCTCCTTCAGGTATATTTTTGTGCCTAATGTGTGTGTGTTTGTGTGTGCTCACGCATTCCCT